GTGTGTACCATATGCTTGTTGATGGGGTTATTCTATACAGGGTGGAGACGAAGCAGAGGGCAGATGTGAATGGAGCGAGGAATGAACTCGATGATCGTGGCTTATACAAAGCTGGGGGCAGGGGAACTCCAAGGGTGGGTGTGAGGGGAGGGTGTGATGGAACCTTCTGTGGGTGATCGTCGTGCCTTGTACAAGGCTGGGGGCAGGGGAACTCCAAGGGTGGGTGTGAGGGGAGGGAGGGATGTGACTTTCTGTGTAGTGATTCACAAGGGATGGAGAATGTGTGAACTGCAAGGTGAGTGTGAGGAGAGGAAGGGAGGGAGATCTGTTGATAGACGAAGTTTGTGGTGTGAGGGGAGAGAGTGGTGTGATTTTGTGTAGTGCTCTGTACAGGATGGAGAATGTGGGAACGGAAGTGGGAGTGTGAGGGAAGGCAGGGAGGGAGTTCTGTTCATAGTCTGAGTGCCTTATCGTGGTGAGTGTGAGGGGAGGGAGTGGGGGAGTTCTGTTGATACACGAAGTGGATGTGTGTGAGGGGAGAGAGTGACACGATCTTCTTACTAGGAACAAACGTGTGCGGGGAGGCCGGGAGGCAATTCTGCTGATAGACTAAATGCCTTATCGTTTGCAAAGTCCGAGTGCCTTATCGTGGTGAGTGTGAGGGACGGGGGAGGGAAAGAGTTCTGTTGATACACGAAGTGGATGGGTGTGAGGGGAGAGAGTGACGTGGAGTGGTTTGAGTCTTTTGACAACTACTATGAACTACGTGTTTCTTGAACTGTGCATTAGATAAGTGCAAGGCCCCTTGGCCTTGCTGGCACACAGCAGGGGCCCCCCGCATCAAATTTACATGGGCCTAACTAATTACTGGGGACACTATAGTAAAACTGGGTCCTAAGGTACGACCCCGGTCTTTTTTTTTCCTTTTCTTTTGAAAACATTTGAGTAAACCACTGGGGAAGTTAAGTAGCGGCCCAGGCATCTGGAAGTTGGTGAAGCTTTTCAGAAGCTTCCGATACTGGAAGAGCACAGTCCCGAACGACGCAACCACGACCTCCTACAGTTGACAAAAGTATTGGAGGTGGCTGCTGACGGACTCCTCTGCACTTCAGGAAATTACTGGCTAAATGTGCAGAATTTAGCGCAGCAGAAGCTGGCTGGGCCCGATGCGGCAGAAGGGGAGAGGCGGTTAACAGAGGCCAAAAAATTCTGGGGTTTTTCAACTTTTTTGAAGTTTTTTCAAGTTTTTTGGGGTCTTTTCAACTTTTTTGAATGCTATTTATAAGAAAACCCAAAGGCCATTCTAAACAAACTTGCCACCAGCTCACTGAGTGGACACCATTGACAAACACCCAAAAAAAAAGAAAAAAAAAAAGATGGGAACTGTGAGGCAAAAGTGCACGTGAATGAAGGGGGCAAAAGTGCATTTGAATGAAATTTCGCCTCTTCAGAGTTTTTTCAGAAATTTCAGAAATGTCAGCAGAGGAACTTCCAATTATCCGGAAGACATTCAATACACCAAATTTGATGCACAGCAGCCTTGACCTGGAACCTGATTTCACTGTCTCCATAGAAATCCCGATAACACCGAGCAATCCTCGGCCTGAAACCTGGTTTTGTTTTTTTCCACCGTGCGCATGTGACTTCAATGCAAGGAAAGATGAGCAGAGGTACCCAATTGCAAGGAAATGAGCAATACCAATGACAGTAAACCAAATTGAAACGGTTTTAACCTTTGCAGAAGCAGATGCAGATCCCAGGGTTCGATCCCTAGACCTTACCTGCACCCGTGTACAGTATCGAGTAGACCCCTGTGTGATTTGAGCCCGCGACCTGTGTTTTAGTAGTGACTGTTCTTTTTCATAGGTCCCTGTAGTTGTAGGGGTTCGATCTGTAGATCTGTCAAGTAGGGGTTACAGCTGTGTAGAGGTCGAAACTGCTAGGCTAGAGGTCTGTAGGTAAGTCGGGAGTCCAACTGCGTCGAGTCGGCAGTGCAACTGCGTCGAGTCGGCAGTGCAACCCCGTGCAGTCAGCAGTACCGGTCCCAGTCAATCGCAGTCCAGTCAAGCAAGTACCGTGTGGGACTGTGTGCACCAAGGGCCTGGAGGAAAGGGGCAGACCAGCGACCAACAGAAGTATAAATCAAGAGGCAGCGTCCAGGGATGGATTCATTCGCTGCGTAAGCCATGCGGAAGCGCTGCTCCAGCGTCTTGTGCGAGGTGGTCTGCAGAGCGCCCGAGGTCGAAGTGGGCTGGAAGACGTTAGCGCAGCCTTAGTTAGTAGTAGTTGAGCAGCCATAGCCGCTGTAGACAGGAGAGAGGTGTTAGTGTGTAAGCGTGTGATGCAGTAACGTGTGTGGGGTATTCAGGGTGATCCAGAGTTGTGTGCGTATGAACAGTGGTGTTGGAAAACAGTATTGAGAGTTGGATGTGCAGGCGCAGATGCGCCATAGCCGTGGAAGCAAGTTTGCATCTGAACCGAGTTCTCGATTTCCATATCTCTGAGTTTTGAGTGGGCGTTAGTTAGTAGTAGTTGCGCGGCCATAGCCGCTGTAGACAGAGAGAGGTGTTAGTGTGTAAGTGTGTGATGCAGTAACGTGTGTGGGGTATTCAGGGTGATCCAGAGTTGTGTGCGTATGAACAGTGGTGTTGGAAAATAGTATTGAGAGTTGGATGTGCAGGCGCAGATGCGCGGTAGCCGTGGAAGCAAGTTTGCATCTGAACCGAGTTCTCGATTTCCATATCTCTGAGTTTTGAGTGGGCGTTGTGTGTGAGTCGCCATCTGTTTGCATGTATGTGAAGCGGAGAAGAAAGCGAGTCTGATTGCATTGGTATCGGAGCTGGTTCCCGTTACCCCACGCGCCATCGCCGTTGTCCAAAGTCGGGCGCCATAGCTGCAATGGTCCTCCTGCCCGTCAGCGAAAAGGCCCCCCCTCCCACCCCCCAGTCGCCCGGGAGCGTCCGGAGAGGCCCGCCAGCGATTGTCAGCAACGACCCTCATACGTGTCGTGTCGTATGCAGCCCCTATGTGTAGACGGACTGTGGTCGTCGATCGGGCAAATCCGACGGTTCCTGGACTCCTGCGCTTTTTCCTTTCGGTCCAATGGGTCAAATGTTCCCGCCCCCCACCCGGGCCCGCAATTTCGATTTCGAAAAAGGCCTTCCGTTCCGCGCGGAAAGGCCTTTGCGTGCCCAAGGCTTGCGAGCCTATGAAACGAATCTCGCCCCCCCAATGCTCATTTCGCACTATCCCATTTCGTTGGGGAGATGCTGTCGGACCGACCACCTGCACTCTCTCACTCGTCAACACCATCGCCTGAGAACCGCGGTGATTGACGCCATCACGATCTCCAGCGCTGCGCCACGTCCTCCAACCAGCGCAAAACTCGACAACCACAGGCGATCACAAGCAGCACGCACGGTGATTGGCGTCATCGCGATCTTCAGAACTGCGCCACGTCCTTCGCTATCTGAACAGAGAACCCACGCGCACTTGCATCACAAAGCACCTTTCGCGCCGCATTATGTGTTCTTTCGCGTCGTCTTTCGCGCCAATCAGCGACCTGCTGACGGGCTTGCTTCGCATGCGCTTTGCTCGTTCAACACAAATCATTCGCCGCAACACCACACAAGTTGCGCCTTTTCCATTGTGATTTCCGCGGCTTTAGTTTAGGTGCGCACGATCCATTCTCCAGACGACATCTTCATTGTGGTGAGTGCCTCTCGAAAAGGGGACTGATGGAACACGACCTTCCTTTTCTCTAACTCGTTTTGCTTGTGCGTAAACACCCGCGGTTGTGTGAGAGTGATGCCATGTGTGTTTGCATGCATGATTGTGCACGTTCGAGTGAGCTTATGCGTTTGCTTGTGCCCTGTTGTGCTTGCCTGCGTTCGGACGTGTGTGTGTGTGTGGCGACTTGCGTTTTTTGTATGTGTTTTTTTTGTTTCCTGTATTGTGTGCTTTCACGTGTGCAATCGGGCGGTTCCTCCAACGGGCCCAATCAACACATTGTATCTACGCGCGCAACCAGGGAATCAATGATCCAATCAACCATTGCAGCAACCCATGATCCAATCAACCATTCCATGCAACCGATTGATTGGACGAGCCACCCTTCCATGGAAAGTGTGTGTGTGTGTGTGTGTATGGGTGTGTGCTTGCGTGCGAAAGCGGGCGTGAGCATGTGAGTATTATGTAAGCGAATGTCTGATTAGTCGATATGGTCCATTAAGATGAACAATTGATTAAGACAAGCAAGCGATTGACCAAACATCGCACCCTCTGAGTGATCAATCGGTCGATTGACGAACAAATCGTTCCCGATAATTAGCTTGCTCGACGAGTTGATGCCCATTCATTTTCGCAGATCTATACACGCGCGCGTTTGATAACGAACGGGCATGAACTCGTCGAGCAAGCTAATTATCGGGAACGATATGTTCGTCAATCGACCGATTGATCACTTGGAGGGTGCGATGTTTGTTCAATTGCTTGCTTGTCACAATCAACCGGTGTTCGTACCGGTTTGATAGAACAAGCCGCTCGATCAACACATCATCATTTGTAGTCGGTTCGATCAACAGATTGTTCAACCTATATCAAACAAGTGAACAGCCTAAGTTAGTCGACCAATCGATAGCTTGAACCGGGCGCTGAAACAAGTGAACAGCCTCTATCAAACGCAGACCATACCATCGTGTATCTTTCAGTGTGTTTGTGTGTGCGTGTGTGCATAAACACGCCTCGCTATTGTCGCACCCCACGATCCTCAACAACGAAAACAAGTGATCGATGAAAACACGACTGCCCTTCCAATCAACTAGTCCATCGAGCAACAAAGCGTGGTCGATCTCTTGATTGGTGAACTGTTTGATTGTCGGCCAACGACCGATGCGCTGATTGACTGACTGATTGAGAGATCGTGTGTGTGTTTTTTGTTCCAGCGTTTATGCGAAGTGAAAATGGATCACAGTCCATTGGAGCTTGTCCAGCATGACCATTGGACATTATCGAACCTTGTTCATCATCGAACCACATCGGAATCCATCCAACCGCTGTTGCAGTACGCCGAGTGCTTAAGCCGACTCACAAAGGACGCATTTCGAACACCCCGTCCAAGCACTGTGGTAGTCCGGCAGGATCCCAACCTGAAATATTGCCACAGCATTGCGGGGTCCAATCGCAAGCACAGAAGGCCGTAGGCACTGCAGACCATGCGTCAATGCACGAAGTCAGCCGACATCCGAACTTCACATATTAACCACCATTGGCAACGGATGAAGTTTGGACGACGGCGGACCTGGCGGTCTTCCTGGTAGCTCGTCAGCAGTTATCCTTTCTCACCAGTATTTGAAGTTCGGATGCCAGCGAACTTCGCATTTCCACACAACCTCCGCTGGAACCAGGGTCTTCCTGGTCCAGCACGGGAGGGGAGGACAAAAGAAGTTCGCCGGTATCCGAACTTCACGTTTTGTCTGTGTGGGCTGACTGAAGAAGTCCGCCCGCATCCGAGCTTCACGTTCCGGCTGCGGGGGCTGACTGAAGAAGTCCGCCCGCATTCGAACTTCAAGGATTGGGCTACTTTGCCGCTAAACAATTGTAGTTCGCCGACATCCGAACTTCACATATTCACCACCATTGGAAACGGAAGAAGTTCGGATGCCGGCGAACTTCGTGTTCCGACACAACCTCCGCTGCAAGTAGGGTCTTCCTGCTCTGCCATGGGAGGGGAGGGGACAAAAGAAGCTCGTCGGCATCCGAACTTCACGGTTTGTCTGGGGGGGCTAACTGAAGAAGTCCGCCCGCATCCGAACGTCAATGATTGGCCTACTCTGCATCCTGACTTCGCGTTCCGGCTGCGGGGGCTGACTGAAGAAGTCCGCCCGGATCCGAACTTCAATGATTGGCCTCCTCTGTTGTTGGACTGTTGTCGTTCACCGGTATCCGAACTTGGATCGTGTCTAAACATTGCAACTGGAGAGGCAAGGGTGCAGTCTAATAGTTTGGATGCCGGCGGACTTCCACGCTTGCCCCAGATCGACAATACGTGAGGCTCTGATGCAAAATAACATCAGCTTCACGACCATCCAATTCGTCGAGTTAGCCTGCACCCTTGCCACGCCTTCCGCAATGTTTAGACAATGATTTAAGTTTGGATACCGACGATCGATAATTGTCTAGCAGCATAGTAGGCCAATCATCGAGGTTCGGATGCAGAGTAGGGCAGTCATTGAAGTTCGGATGCGGGCGGACTTCTTCGGTCAGCCCCCGCACGACGAGCTTCTTTTATTCTCCCCTCTCGTGCTGGACCAGGAAGACCCTAGTTGCAGCGGTGGTTGTGTCGAAACACAAAGTTCACTGGCATCTGAACTTCAAATACTGGTGAGAAAGGATAATTGTTGACAAGCCATCAGGAATATCGACAAGTCCGTCGGCATCCGGATTTCATCTGTTGCCAATGGTGGTGAATATGTGATGTTCGGGCCATGGCGGTGTACTGCTTGGCCGTTATACTCTGACGACGGCGCACTTCAACTTCGGTTCTATTGCCGGGGTGGCGCGAGCTTCGAACAGCGCCACCCTGCGATTCCCGTTCTACAGGCCCACAATCTAAGTCCGCCGGAATCCGGACTTCAGAAATTATTGTCTCCTATGTGTCTATTCAACGGGCAACGATATTTTTTCAATGTCGTTGTACCCGTTGAATAGCCCCAGGGGCCCCGTTGAAACCCTGTTGAACGATTCAACGAGGCCTTCCCGGCCGAGCGCAATAACCGCCGAGCCTGCGGCCCTGCAGGCGGGGACAAAAAAAACGAAATTCACACGACCCCCCCGTTGTACCCCCGTTGTATCCGTTGAATGCAGTTGAGAGAGAGAGAGAGAGAGAGAGAGAGAGAGAGAGAGAGAGAGAGAGAGAGAGAGAGAGAGAGAGAGAGAGAGAGAGAGAGAGAGG